AATTTACTGAAAATGCATAATTCATGAGACTTACTGCTGTAAAAACAGCAAATATGTACCGTAAACACATTTTTGTAAGGACATATATATACACCTACTTTTCGACGAAATATATATGATTTTCAATACTATCAACTTCATTTGTTCTTGTTTTTTATATCTGAGAAATCCTCAGATACAGAAAGAAACAAAAATCATTTTTGTAATACTAATAATGATAATGGTAATAACAATGGTACTAACAATAATAGTAATGATAATAATAATGGTACTAACAATAATAGTAATGATAATAATAATAATAATGATAATAATAATAATAATAATGATAATAATAATGATTATACTACTACTAATAATAATGATAATAAAATAACAATGATAATAATAATAATAATAATAATAATAATAATATGAAATAATTGTGATATGAATAAGAAGTCTTGTATTCATCTCATGCACAATTTAATCTAAGTAAATCACCTTATAAAATCAAATAAAAGGAAAATATAATTTGGGATACGAACAATGCCATAAGCATTACTGCATAAATCAGAACAAATAATATTACATCCTTTTACATATATAAAACACAAAATTGTGTTCTATGAGCTATGTCAGGGCAATATAGAATAAAACTTATAAGAAAAAATGTTCATAGCACTGCAAATAAACATATATCATTTCTATATATCATCTATGCATTTTGTTGTGATGGCTTCACTGGGTATGACAATAAAGTGCATCCGGTGATGAGACTAGTTCGGGAGTTTTGGGGAAACCCTTTAATCATCACTGCTCCCAGGTCCTCTCTCACCCAGAGAGGTAGCACATATGGGGTTGCATATCTTTATGTTGGGCAGCAGTAGCATTAGTGCCTGGAACTGGCGGAGGAACCATTTCGGTGGTCAACGGTAGATCCAAGGATAACAGTAGGCAGGTCATTTATCCTGACTTTGGTTGCTGTTCTGCGGTGGAGTGGTTCTGGGGGCTTGCTTCACGTATTGGCCTCTTTGTACAACCAGCAACTGGTTGTACCGGTTTCACTGCAAACTGCGAAAAGTCATTCCACATTTTCGATAGAGATATCGGTTATAAAGCGACATCTGATATCTAGATATTTTTTGTATTCCCTGTTCATTATCAATAATGACCACAAAATTGATAATAGCATTTTTGCAGACTGTGTTATGTCATTAACTAACTCTGATCATTTCACACATATGCTGAGAAATGTTGTGTCATTTTTCAAGACATAAAAACAAAAAATAATAGGACTTACAAACATACATGTTTTGCATTACAATAGACGTATTATTACGTATTATTATTATTTCTTAAGTTTGGCGTTTCCTAACGATTCATGTTGTTCCAGAGCCTATAAAACCCTGGAGACCACTCGGCTAATAGGATATTAAATCACAAAATTACATTTTTTATGTCTTGTGAAATCTGCAAGGAATGAGGCTGACTAAAATGATTTAGGTGTTGATCAATTTCCCATCCTCCTTCAATTTCACCAAAGAAAGAAAACGTTCCAAATGCTTAGGGCTTTACGAAGGCGATACACAGCCATCTACCGGCAAAATTGGCTGTTCTGTGGTCAGTACTCGCCTCTCGTTTTAAACTGTGGTTGTTTACAGTGCTACTTGTGTTTTCGAATTCTTTCCCCAATATTCTGTTGGAAACGACTTCTTAATGAAATTGTTACGATCTCAGGAATATCACCATGTTAATGAAGCACAATTACAGTGTTCCGGCTGCAGAAAATCGTGAGAGGCTCCCCAACCACCCTTTCCTTCAACTAAGAGGTAAAGCAAATTTGCACCTTTAATTGTACCGATATGTAGAATATTGTAATTGATGAAGCAATTGGGTAGGAAATGCGGTAATTGGTAGGGTATGTGGGGGGGGGGGCGGATGCCACAGCTTGGAGAATACGGAGATTGGGATCCGGAGAGGAAACCCCGAGTTAGAAGGTTTTCCATTCATATCTTTCTAATAACTTATACGATTAGGATTCGAATCTTCCATGACCTTGATTTTAAAATACGTGTGTGTGTGTGTGTGTGTGTGTGTGTGTGTGTGTGTGTGTGTGTGTGTGTGTGTGTGTGTGTGTGTGTGTGTGTGTGTGTGTGTGTGTGTGTGTGTTTGTGTGTGTGTGTGTGTTTGTGTTTTCGTGTGTGTGTGAGTGTTTGTGTTTTCGTGTGTGTGTGAGTGTTTGTGTGTGTATGTGTGTGTGTGTGTTTGTGTTTGTGTTTGTGTTTGTGTGTGTATTTGTGTGTGTGTGTGTGTGTGTGTGTGTGTGTGTGTGTGTGCGCGCGCGCAAATGTGTTTGTTTGTTCGATTGCGTGTGTAATGCCCGCGAAAATAAATTGTAATTATTTATATTTATTCTTAAATAATGTTTCTGAGTACTTGTGTGACAGAAACTGAATCGTCAAATTCAGGATTTGTTCGTCAGTTCTATTAATTAGTATGTTTTTTGTTTTTTATCAGATATAAAGTTTTCCATTCATATCTTTCTAATAACTTATACGATTAGGATTCGAATCTTCCATGACCTTGATTTTAAAATACGTGTGTGTGTGTGTGTGTGTGTGTGTGTGTGTGTGTGTATGTGTGTGTGTGTGTGTGTGTGTGTGTGTGTGTGTGTGTGTGTGTGTGTGTGTGTGTGTGTGTGTGTGTGTGTGTTTGTGTTTTTGTGTGTGTGTGTGTGTGTGTGTGTGTGTGTGTGTGTGTGTGTGTGTGTGTGTGTGTGTGTGTGTGTGTGTGTGTGTGTGTGTGTGTGTGTGCGCGCGCGCATGTGTTTGTTTGTTCGATTGCGTGTGTAATGCCCACGAAAATAAATTGTAATTATTTATATTTATTCTTAAATAATGTTTCTGAGTACTTGTGTAACAGAAACTGAATCGTCAAATTCAGGATTTGTTCGTCAGTTCTATTAATCAGTATGTTTTTTTTATCAGATTTACTGAGACATTTTTATTAATGCAACATTCAGAACAGAAACGTCTTTATGTTGTTGTTATTACTGCAGTGTCATTGTCATTATCGTTATTCTTATTCTATTATTGCTATTGTTTTTGTTTTTTGTTATTATTGTTGTCATTATTGTTTTGTTATTATTGTTGTTATTATTGTTATTATTATTATTATTATTATTGTTATTATTATTATTATTATTATTATTATTATTGTTATTATTATTATTATTATTATTGTTATTATTCCAGTCACAATTGTTATTGTTATTGCAATTGCTATTGTTACAATGATTAAATCCATTATTTATAGTCCGCTCCAATGAACCATGTAGTAAACTAATCTTTAGATTAGTCTACCCCGTTATTTTTAGTACGCGGTAGACTAAAGGTGGAAGACAACAAAACCTACGTTGTTCATAGAAAATGTAGTATATTAGAAGGGGGACTACTATTTTCCATTTGCTGACCATGTGTTCCCTTTTGTCGCCAGAAAACCGATATATTTTATGGAGAGTATGACACTATAATCCCTACCAGTTGCGATCTTATCTGGACAAGGGGCGGTATGCCATAGTTTGTTTTATTTCTGCTCGATTATGTTGTCGTGGCCTATCCTTGCATATCTTGTCTGTCAGTTTGTCTGATTTTAGGGGCGGGGGATGTTGATCTGCTGGCTGAGAGGCTTACATTGTTTGTCTGCAATTCTATCCAAGGAATAGTTAACGTTAGAGTCCATGGGAATAGCGTTGACAGGATAGGATACTGTATGGTTATTTTTGCAGAAAAATAATTTAGCACAATTTGCTGCACAGAATCATTAGTATTGTGAATATTAGGTGCGTCATTTTTACAGGAATCCACAGGAGACTTTTGATACAATATCTTAAGTCTGAACCCTCATTTTGTCTAGAAATCCTAGACACTTTGTGTTTGCAAACCTAGTTGTGGCAGCCGCGCATCCTCTGTTTTAAATCGCCTTTTTTGCCAAGATTCCTTTTCGTGCCTCTCTCTTTTCTTATATACGTTGTTCTGACAGGAAATAAAGAAAATAACAAAAAACGTGCCTTTACAATGCTGAAGTCTAAAACAACTCTGGCCTTGTGTTCTACACCAAAACAGTTATTAGTACGGCGATGATGTATAAATCTAAAATATTCTGCCGCACTTTTCGAAAGAGTGGAAAATAGTAATATTCATATTACGAGTTGTACTCGTAGATTACGTATTGTTATATATACAGTAATGTGTGTGTGTGCGTGTGTATGTGTATGTGTGTGTGTGTGTATGTGTATGTGTGTGTGTGTGTGTGTGTGTGTGTGTGTGTGTGTGTGTGTGCATGTACATGCGTGTTCCGACCGCCGTTCGAGGTTAGGAGGAGCATCCACTCGGCCAGACGGTCTCCATCTGCCAAATAAGTCTTTCGGAAGAATGCACTACCATATCCATTGCGAGGGAGTTCATGGAGTAAAGCCTTTCGCAAGCTTGTTGTAAAAAAATATTTCAAGTTTTATCGTTCCTTACATTCGAGGTCTTATTTCTTCTGTACTGAATTTAGTTTGAAATAAAGTTGCATAAAAGGGAAATTCTGGAGGGCTTCTGAATCAGCTTGTATTCGTTGTATTGGTCCTTTAATATATTATTTATGCCTGAGATAGGCAAAAAATGCCCTTCTCTAGGCAGATTAATATTTCTGTTTACTATTTTAACTAGTTAAAAACGCATAAATTCAAGGTTTAACGGCAACAAGATCACAACACTATATGAACACTGAGTATCCTTCATTAGAATTGGATTCTGATCTATGACGGGTAGTCTCCTGCATCGAAGCAACAACGTCATTATAACTAGGCAGTCCATCTACCGATAGCTGGATTTCGTTCGCTACAAAGTACGGCGAATATGCAGGAGGAGCCCCGTGACCTGAGCTGTGTCTTTGACCCTCACTCGCCCCCTCCTCAGTTTGGGGTCCATGTCCCGGCACAGAGCCTTGAAGTTGGCTCGAGCCTTGCAGTTCTGCCAGAGAGAGCACACTCGACTGACGATCTTGCAGGATGATCTGGTCATACGAAGGTGGCTCTTCCGCGTAAACCAAGGGTGTGCTTGGTTCGATCGGAACGGCGTCGTCGTCTGTTGGACCGTTGTCGCAGGAGCACTTCAATAACAGGGCAGGCCTCCAGCACCATTCGACCAGGCAGCAGAGGAGCAGCACCGACAGCAAGATTATCAAGGTGTCTGTAAAATATTGGGTACATATATCATATTTCTATATATGTAAGTACTCCTCCCATAAAGGCATAATAGACTATACACATACACAAACAAAACAAAGAAAAGCAAAGAAACATTTCTTTTTTAAACCCTTATGTTGTTGGTTTTTTATTTTATGTATCTTTTTTGGGGTTTTAGAGAACTGCAAGGAATTTGAAATATATATCTATAAACAACGAATGATTATAAGTTAATCGTAAACCTCACATCGACTTTGCAATATGATAAAAAGGGAAAAGTAAGATGTCGAAATAGAGGAAGAGGTTTTATCAGTTTAGCTCTTTAATGTCGATTTCTAGAAATTAGCTTCTTTTTCTACTTCGTTTTCTTTTACTTTGATTTTGTATCCGCAAGCTATATGGACCGTTGGATTTTTTTCAATAACACGCAGGACTTTTTCAATTATCCTCTCATGATAAAAATTTAATGACTGTAAGTAGCTCGTTAAGTTGGCCTACATACGGAGGTTTATACAGGTTTGCGTTCATAGTCACTTGGCTGCTTCCCGAATCCAGAAGGAAGTAAGCAAAAGGTATACTGTTGATGGAGTGATTATTCATTCATCTTTTCTTAGACTTACACACACACACACACACACACACACACACACACACACACACACACACACACACACACACACACACACACATATATATATATATTAATTAGTTTATTAATGGTTTACTTGTTACTAGTCAGTATTAGCAGGAACGTCGTGGTTTTATGCGCCGCTGGCTAAATACTGGCGAATATCAGTCTTCAAGCATGATGATTAGGCGTACGATTAACCGAGTTAAGGAAGTGGAAGTCAACTATACTTATGAAAGTTGGTTAGAAAGAAATGCTTTGGTAATGACTTAACCCTGGATGAAGCCAAAGTATGCAAGTTGATCTGATTTAGCCCTGTATGCAAGAATATAAGTTTAAGAAAGCCTTTCAGAAATTTGTCTTGTGAAGGTAATAATATTATCAACGTTGCCAGCTTTGTTAACTCTGGAAAATTACAGACATTTTCGGTAGCATCCCGAAACCCTTAACACTGACACATTGTTTGATGTATCACGGTCGGTACGAGATCGTCGAAGTTAGTTCTGACATGCAGAGTCTTGAAAAAAAAAATTCACAGGAAGAATCGATGGAAAACCACTAACTATTTAACATGCTGGAATGATTCTAATTAGAAGCAAAACGCTATCTATGGAAACTTCAAGTAGAATGGATAAAGGAACTGACTACTCCGCGATTTTTATTGTTACACCACTTTTCACTTCGCAAGGCTGTGGGTGCTTTTAAATGCATTTCTCAAGTTCTAAAAAAAAAAAACTCCCTTGGTCTTCATATGGAAAGTGGAAGTATTGCTTAAAGTTTTTAATTAACCACATCCACCGCCGGTGAGCTCCGTTTTCACACACAATCCGAGTCGTAGATAAGTCGATTATTACTTATCTTATTGTCTGTAATATATCAACAGATCAAGAAACACAGCTCTGCCTTTGATATTTTTGAGTCTATGAGGTCATATGATAGAAATACAGAATGATTTTGAAGATATTCATCTCATCAAAGTCAATACCATATCATATGACTCGGACACAGTGGAAATGCTTGCCAAGTCGTCCTAGCGACCGGAATTATTGACTTAAAAGTTTACCCTAGTAGAGTGAACCTGCATTTGGTGTAGTGTTCAGCAGGCACAGAATTATTTTATAATTTTTATATTTGACTTTTAAAGAAACAACGATTTGTAGTTCATGAAAATATAAACCGCAGATTCCAATAATGTTCGCGTAAAGTGTTAGGGGTTTCGGAGATGTTACAAAAAAAAAAAAAAAATCTAGCTGAAAGTGTGAATCGGTTTAGGAAATCATTTCATGGCAACTTTAAAGCCATATGAAATGCTTGTAAATCATATTTCTTCTATTTGATTTGTATTAAACTCAAAACTACAAGTAGTACAGTTATGGAATTTAGACAGGAAAAATATAAAAACGGTCCGGTCTTTAAAAAGAAAAAGAAAGAAGACACGGTCCAGTTGGAAGGTAAGATACATAAATATATGTGCATACATTACACTTTAATATAAAAGACATACATACATATCTACATATACGAATTTATATCACATAGGCCTACCAAGTTCGCACGTCCTACCTGAGATCGGGTTTTCCCAGATGAGTCGGAATAACAGAGCGGCGCAAAGGAAACCGGTCACCACGAAAATGCTGATCAACCGAACACACTTGAC